TTTCCCTCTAGGGAATGGCTGGGAACCAAGGGATCCCATTCTTCCCTTTGCAAAGGGAAGGTGAAGGGAAAAGTGGGCTCAATGCCTTCCTTGTTCTGCAGAGCCTGCTCTGCAGCATTCGGCAGCAGACGTCTGCTACCAAGCAGGCCTCGAGCACACGCCAACATCTTAACCCCAGCCAGCTGGGTGCAAGCACCCCTCACACATCTGGACATGAGCACCTGGGGGAGTGTCAAGAGACCACAACAGGCAAGCCACTGAAGGAAACATGCTGGACACAAGAGACTAAGCTCTTTATGTAAATCAAATGCTTCAACTGCCTTCAGGTTAAAAAAAAAACAAACCACATTTAAAATCTGAAGTGCTCCTGTGTCAGTTCTACAGCTGTTTTGCAAAGCAGAAGTCATGGACGTCAGCTAGAAAAATGAGCTGCTGTTTCCCCCTCCCCATCCCCAAAGGAATTATCTGCACCGAAATGACATATCCTAAGAGGCACAGGAAGGGTGTATAATGCCCAGATGGCTTTTACTTCATCTCACAATCATCTGAACTTTCCTCTAAGAGTAATCTTACTACAGATCTGCTCCACATTTTCCTAAATTTTAAGAAGGAATTGTGTTGAATCTCACAACCTTCAATGCTCTCAAGTAACAAACACCTCCAGCTGTAGGTATTTCACATGAAATAGTAATTTCTTTTAACTTGCCTTCCACTACTAATATTTTTCCTTTAATATGACTCCCTAACATGCCACACACATCAGCTTATCACAAGAGAATTTATTTGTAAGCTTACCACTGTTCTCTATGTTTTGTTCAGCATTAGCGTATGTACGAAGAAACTCAGCAAAAGCCCCATCCTGCTTCAGCAGCTCCTGGTAGGAGCCCATCTCAGAGATTTCTCCATCAGACATTACCAGAATTGTATCCATTTGAGGCAGGTAGTTGATTGCATGCGTTACCAAAACCCGTGTCTACATAGCAAAAAAGAAAAAAAAAAATTCTAATATCTCAAATTAGTAAATGCAACAGTTGAACTACTTTTCCAGCTGCTTGTATTCTTTGTATAATACAGTAATAACTATGGACAGGCATGCAGTATTTTTAAGAAAAACTACTGTCCTTGTGTTGATTTTTCCATGAAAGAATTCTGAATTATAGAAACCAGGACACATTTCATTATAAAAATTCAATGTTTTATAAAAGCCCTCTAAAATCTCAGAAAGATCCTTTAAGATTTCATGTGTTTGAAACAAAAGTCTGAATATGCAACTGAACAAACTTGGAATCATTTGACCTCAGCAACAAAAACCAAATCTTTCTCTAAAGACAAGTATCTCATTATATCATACTTTCTTTTTCAGGATTCCTTTTGGTCCAATAACTTTTTCAAAAATATGTTTCCCAACATGAGCGTCGACAGCTGACAACGGATCGTCAAATAAATAGACGTCTGCGTTACAGTAAACTGCTCGAGCAAGACTGACTCGCTGCTTCTGCCCTCCAGACAAATTCACACCCTGGAGAAACAAGAAGTTAATGATCCTTTATTTACAGCTGAAGAGAGAGACAATTACAGCTTGTAAAGGACAGAAGCCATAGGTGTTTTATGCAAATTTGAGAAATTTCAGGATTGTATGAGATGCATCACAAACAATTTCACTACCACAATAGCATAAGCAATCTCAGTCAAAAACCTCTCACAAGGAAGTACATTTATTAAGTTCTCACTGTCAGTGAGAGGCTAGTGAAAGAACAAAAGTCTCTGCTAGTCTTGTAAGGCAATAAACGCAGACCAGCCTAACTAACTTTGTACGTTCAGAAGCCATTCTTCTCAGCTGTATTTCTACAGTGCTGCCTCTGCTTAAACAAACTGCATTCACACACTACAACTTGGCTGGCCTGCTGACCAATAAGGAAGATAAAGCTGAACCCTTTACTGCATCCGGGGTTGTCAGTTGGCAGCTGTACCCCACCTTTAACTTGTCAGCAGGCAAAGAACACGTCCCTGCATATATATCCCTGTCTTCTGGAGAACGTCAGCTTAACAGAATGCCGCGGTGGCCACCTGGTTAGTGGACACCTGCTCCCACAGCACAGCACTACAACATCCATGCAAGTTTCTACACCCGACACAGAACATACTTGTGCAATCAAGGGCCAGTTTTGGGGTGGTGGCCGTTTCTGTGGTTTGTTTTTTGGTTTTGGGGGAATTTGAGGGTTGAGGAGGAAGAGGGGTTGTTTGCTTGTTTCAAATGAAGTTTAGAAGTGTTTAGAATATTCTTCTCTTCCTGTTTCCATACATTTTTCTGCTCTACAACCATGACAATTTAAAAGAGACAATTAAGAGCTGTCACTGCAAGATGCTTTTGCATTTGTAATTGAGGACAGGTTTCCTCCTATTTGAGGGTTAACAGCAAGGGAAACATTTAGTATAAGTATTGAGATACCTTTTCTCCTATTTCTGTTTTGTCTCCTGTAGGAAGAATCTCTATGTCAGGCAGCAGTGCACAAGCCTCAACCACACGCTTGTACCGGCTCTCATTCCTCTCTCTTCCAAAGATAATGTTGTCTTCCAGAGTCGCATTTTGGACCCAGGCTTGCTGAGGAACGTAGGCTACTGAGCCCTGAAAGAAAAGCAGAGTTCCTTATTCAGTAATTTAGGCTAAAAGTCTGCACCCAAAGTCAAAGCACAGCAGGGCTTTACGAGGCTGGCAGAGCTAATGGCCTCACAAATTGCCTATAGTCATTTCAAAACAGCACAAAGTACTTCTTGGGCTACTGCCTTCTCCAAAATGTTATTTTTGTAATCCTCTCTAGAAGCCAATGTAACAAAGTTATAAATAAAGGAAAATAAAGGACTTTAAACAAAATATGATTCTCTAACAAACTTGGAGGAAACATTTGTTTGGAGAATATGTTTGCACAATTATTGAGTGTCAAAAGCCATTAGTTGTTCCATATAGTTAACGTTTATGTTCTGCATAAAACAATTTAATCTGGAATGCAAGGGTTTAACAAACACATCCCTGCCAAGAGATTTCTACAGAAAGTAGGGGAAGTAGTTTTTACATAAAAGTCACTTCAAAGGAAAAGACTGAGCTACTGTAAAGTATTTTGCTTTGAAGATGAGTTCTGCCTTCTGTTTCTGTACATATGATCACTGATCCAAATCTTACTTCCTTTATTTTTCCAGTACAATTTTGGAGGTTACCAAATGTGCTTTCTTTTAAATGCAACATATTTGTTTTGCTCTTAAAATAATTCTCTTTCCATACATTACAGCAGTAGCAAAATCTAAAACAAGGACTTTTTGCTTATTTACTTACTTCCAGGTCACTTTTCCCCTATAAGACCTGTGTAACTCTGATGTCTAAGAAGTTATAAACTACAACAGCAGATTTTCCCATGTGTGGGTTATTTGGGTGTACCCTGTTTTCTTGTAAATCTCTGATGGATTTATGAATCAATACTGCTCTTCTTTAGGCGGGCATATGTGTAACAGGGTCTTGCCACCTCATACATGGCTTCCAACAAGACTCACCAGAATACTTATCTTTGAGACCTCCATCATTCTTGTCTGGCTAAATCTAAAGCCAACATATCTTGAAGTTGTAGGGTCAAGGCTCAACAGGCAATTACATAGAGTGCAGGCTAAGGCACATACACAGCTTGTAAGGAAATCGAGCTAAAAAGCTCACTGATTT